TAATAAATATTTTAAGATCAATGAATGCTACCCAAAGTTACTTTATGACATCTCCACTTTGGAAGAGAAGCCTGCAGAAGATCTCTCTTTGGGAAAGGTTGCTTATGTGATCACCTATCCACCTTGAATTCTCGGGTTTGTTCTTTCCTTTCTCTCACTCTTATTTATATTTATGTTCTTTCATTGAGGATATTGCATGTTTTAAGTGTGGGGGAGAAAACTATTTCTTTATTTTGTTTTCTTTATTTTGTTCTTAAATTAAAAAATAATTTTTTTTTTACTTTGAAACACAATGCATCTTTTGAAATTTTTAGACTATAGATTAATTTGAGGTTAGATTGTGGAGACTTGGGAAAAATTTATAAGATCGGTACCGTTTTAACACCTTAAGTCTCCCGAATATGGAAATAAATTTAAATACTTGTTATGACATAGCCTTAAGTTCTCATCCTTTAATAGCTCTTAAGTAGTTTATCTAGCAGTCAGCACCATCTAAAAATCACACACTAAGTAATTAAGCTGATGCAAATAAGTAAATGATTATGTGCTTAACCAGAAATCTAAATAGGAATCTGCCTTTTAAGTTAGGTGACCCTCACCCGGTCACTTAGGCTAGCGGTTGTGAAACCTTCAAAAAAAAAAAATTGTTGTTGCTATTTAATTGGTTAATCTCAGGACCCGAAATTTTCCGTTTGAAATATTTAGTTTTGGGCCGGGTTTTTTATGTTTTTCGACCCAGTTGGGTTAAAACCAGAAGTGTTGATGTTTTCTTATACCTAGCAGCCGTACTATTGTCACATAACCTTCTTTTCACAATTTTACTTTGCTTTTTACGATTGTAATGGAGAACTAATTCCCAAGACAAATCTTGCTGCTTACGGATTCCATCGCTTTGAGGTTATTCTAATACCAATTTAAATTTGATTCCTTTCAATCCTTTTCTATGAAGTCATTTGCTTAATTTGATTGCAATTGTTTGCTTAATTCGATTGTTGTTCATAGGATAAAATTGATTAAATTCAATTGTATGCATGTTCCTAAATTTAATTGCGTGTTATCGTTTGCTTAATTCGTTAACTCTTCATATTCTTAACCGTTTGCTTAATTCGGTAACAAGAACATAATTCGTATGATTTTGATAAGCGCTTGTCTGATTAATATCATAATCGAATAGGATTGAAGCTGCTTAAGGATTGGTGTTATAATAGTTGATGATAAGTCGGAACCCGAATTAGTAGAATTAGCCGTTTTAGATTATTTGATAATCACTTTTTTTTAATCACCTTTTCTCTTATTTTATAAATCAAAACTTAAAACCCCCATAAACAGTTACTATAGTTGATTAAATTCAATACAAGAATCCTTGTGAGAACGATATTCGAGTTGTCGTTACTGCTAACTATTTTCTTAAAATTACTCGTTTTTGATCCGTGTGCGACAACAGATCATTCCCCGTGAGGGATATTTGCCTCCCTATTTTGGGGCCCTCATAAATATATCACTACACATACCTTTAATCACAAAGACTTATAAATGGAGAAGTATTTTAAGATTATTCTCCCATTCGTTAAACTTTGCAGCGAAGGGTGATTCCCTCAATTCAAGGCGAGTCTCTTAGCTGAAGGTGGTTCATTCGGTTGGAGGCAAGTCCTTCAGCTGAAAGTAATTCCTCTGGTTGAAGGCGTGTCCCTCAACTGGGAATGAATTATCACCTCTTTGCCAATTGTCTCTTGAGTATCTAGAGTATCAGCGGGGGGTATCAAACATTACTTGAATAACTTTAAGGATGTTAAAACGTCACTTAGTTTTGATTGCTAGCATGTTTATTGGGAAAAGAGTGTGGGTGACATTTAATGCAACTCATGTTGATTTCCTGGGGAAAATTAGCCTAAACCATTTTCTTACATGTGCCCCTAACACGTGGAAATCTTTCCATTCCTTACAATAATTACTCCCTCAAGTAGGTACGTTCCTTATGCTATTGGTCTTCTATAAGAGGTCCTGATGTATTTTCCAGGAAAACCTTTCCCATTTTTCCCTTTTGGAACCTCCAATTTGCTTCCTTAAGAAAAATACACAAGCAAGGCAAAACATCAGAGGGAAAAAAGGGTTTGCGAGGTTTGTCATCCTCTCTAAGTCACACACACTACTTTTCTCTCATCCTCTACCCTTTCGTTGAAAGCTAGTGGTTAGGAAGAAAGCCAAACATGTTCACGTTTGGGACACTGCGTCTATATACTCAAGTCCTGACATAACCAAGAGGTTTCACTGAGGTATTGGATTTTCCTGTACAGGGTGCGAATAACAAGTGGTCTTGGAACCCTGTTCAGGAATGGAGACAATCAATATGACCAAAACAGGAAGGTCATCTGCTTCTTATTTTTACTTTTATCTCTCTGTTATCCATGAGTTGGGGGTTTTGATCCCTTTTGCATCTTTTTAGGTAGACATTTTTGCGACTATTAATGTCGCCCCTTCCCAAAACACGCCCAATGTGTGTAGTATTCTTAGGGCTTTCTAGATAATCTGTTGTAACCTAGGTGTCCCCCTACCATCTAGGTATTCCTTTCCTTCTTTAGCATACATATCCTTCCTGATAAAGATTGGATAACTTTACACACACACACACACACACAGACACACACACACACACACACACATTCTCTCTCTCTCTCTCTCTCTCTCTCTCTCTCTCTCTCTCTCTCTCTCTCTCTCTCTCTCTCTCTCTCTCTCTCTCTCTCTCTCTCAGGTACGCAATTGTTGGAACCCTACACAGACCTTATGAAGATTAGAAAGACATCTTTATGGTGACGATATGGGTGACGAGTTCCTTTCGCTTTTCTTTGTCATAAACACCAGATTATCAACTTATCAAAGGGATAAAATCCAACGCTCCTTTTCCCCTTGAACAATAGGTGATCTAAATTTTGATATGTTTCTAGCTCTTGAACTTCCATACTCCAATTATCCGGGACTAAGAAGACGGTGATGGGGTAGGTAAGTCTCTGGGTAAGCTTTATGGTATGAAAGAAACCATCTAACTAGATCCATTATTTTATAATTTTCACGTATTAACAACACCCTTTTTTAGAGGATATGACGGGAATCTTGCTCAACAATAGGAAAGAGAGGTTGGTTTAGATGCAAGCCACACAAAGACGTGCAATCATTCTCCCGCCCATCCTAATGGATTTAACTGTGGCTGGAGATAAGCGACAAGGACAAGGTTTCTCTCTCAAGAACCAACGACTAGGGGAGGACTCTTCTGGACCTTTAAGAAGCCGCCAAATAGTAGATGGAAGAGGAAAGGCAGGCAAGGTCCATATTCCTACGACATGAGTTTATAGACCCTCACTATGGAATTACGTTAGCTTCAACATCATTGAGTTCACTAGGTGTCATCTCTCCATCTTATAGACTTTTTTCCAATAACTATCAGTCATTTCTCAATAAGTCTTATTCTTACTTAACAAACCTTTTAGAGGTCCAAATGTTGAGGTTTCTCCTAGTGAAAAAAGTCCAGTAGGAGAAACATTTCCGAACGATTTGAGAGCTGCAATCTAGGGTTGACCTTATTGTAGGAAACGTCCAAAAGCGTTAGAGGGTACTGGTGGTGATGGAAAAGGAACATGATGGTTTAAGGACCTAAACTAGGGAGGTCGCCACCAAGGCCCTGGATTGCATTGAGGAAGGAGAATGCCTAGAAAAGTCACCAGAGGAAGCTTTCAATTATGTAAAAGGTCTAAAGGAGGAGGCGTCATCGTTCAAGGATGAGATTATGGCCGCCTCTAACTAGTATTTTGAGAGGGGAGAGGGAACAAGTGACCTTATTTTACCCAAACTTTGACTTAAGTCAGACAAACCTATTTCAAGCGGTTCTAGATGACCGACTAGTGGATGACGAATAAGTCTCATAATTTTGACCCTTTTTTGTAATATACCTTATTCTGTAATATGTCATCTTTTGAGTGTTATTCCTATTTATATAGCCCCATTTTTGCTTGTTATATATTCTTGGTTAATACTTATGCGAAATTGATTTATTAAAAGGGGGCCCCAAGTCCTTGACCACAAAAAAAGAGGCAGTCATGGTTCTTTAAGAGGGTTCAACACATTAATAACCCTGATGGGCAGTTAGGATTCCTTGCAGAAATTCAACATTCTTAATCACATTCGAGGGGACAACAAGGTTCCTCATGAGGATCTAGCTTTTAACCGCACTTAAGGGAATCAAGGATCTCTCTTGATCTAATTATATCAATTATTATTATTGCATATCCTTATCTTTCTGTTACATATAAAGTAAGTCGCAAATTGAATTTGCTTTATCGAATATGATATTTCTTTCTCGATCTGAGTATATCCATTAAAATTATTTCATGTTATAAATATAAACTGAAAATACTAATAATATAATATTATATAAATGATTATAATTTAGTTTAAAAATATATGTGTAGTTTATTTTTATTTCAATTATATTATTTTTAATTTTTATTTAGATTTTAATTTTTTATTTATTAACCGTTATACGATTGTTTATATATTTTTTTCATTTTTATAAATAATTTAAATTAAAATAAAATATAAGCACATAAAAAATACTCTTTGATTCTACTACATTAAATTGAAGGATAAAAGAAAAGGGAAAGGGAAAATGGGCCAAAAGAATGGGGTGTGTGATTTTGGAGAGTGTAGTAGAAAAGGATTGGAAATGTGTAGTAAAGACACGTGGGGGTCGGTGATTATAATCGGATGCAAACCTATTTATATTCTTCTCTTTATTCTTCCTTTCTCGTCCGCCTCTTGTTTCTTTCTCTCTTTCTCATATCCCCTTCTCCCTCTTCCTCCCCCATCCATCGCAAACCCTAAAACCAGACACACACCTTCTTCCTCTTCTTCACACTATCTCTATCTCTCTTCCATTTGTTTTTCGCAAAACCTTTCTAATCGGTGACGAAAACGGAGAATCAATCGCTCATAATTTCGCTCGATTCTTGATGGCCGCTTCAACTACAAGTCAGGTTTATATCGATGTTATCGAAGATGTCATGGTCAAGGTTCGAGATGAGTTCGTCACCAACGGTGGTGGTCCTGGAGATGAAGTTCTCCGAGAGCTTCAAGCCGTAAAATTTCATCATTTCTTTGTCTTCTTTCTCTTAATTAATTAGTTAATTAATTAATTATTAATTGATTAAGTAATTTGTTTTTTTGATGTATGAGTCTGATTTGATTTGGTTTTGAAGAAATTTTGTTTTTTATGTTGGTTGATTGATTTTAGGGTTTTGGATCTGATGAATTGTTGTGTTTGGGTTTAGGGATTAAGTTGTTTGTTTTTATGGTTTTGATTATTTGTTTAGATTTGGGAAACGAAGATGATTCAAGCTGGTGCAGTGCTTGGTCCAATTGAGAGGTCTGCTGCTGCTAATAGACCAACGCCTGGTGGTCCGATTACTCCTGTTCATGATCTGAATGTGCCGTATGAGGGGACTGAGGAGTATGAAACTCCTACTGCTGAAATACTTTTCCCCCCTGTGAGTTTTACAACTGCAGTCACAGTTGAATTTGTTTTTCTGTGAATTGATAGTGGAAGTTATTGGGTTGTTGATGTGGGATTTTCACAATTTACAGACGCCATTGCAAACTCCAATTCAGACCCCTTTACCTGGAGCTGGTGAGACCCCGAATTATAACATTCCTACTGGACCAAGTGACTACTCTTCTTCTGGAAATGAAACTGGTGGAAATGCTGATGTAAAAGGTGGAAGACCAAGTCCATTCATGGTAAAGTTTGCTTTATACAGTTTGATATGTCGAAAATTTTTCATATGCCAAACTAGATGTTTTCCATAAGCCTGGATACTCATGCATGCATCCTAAAATGGAGGGTGACACTAGTAAAAAGATGGGAAAAGGGAGAGGGTGATTTGGAGAGAAAATAATTGAGATAGAGAGAAATGAGAGTGTTATATAGGGATTTTGTGGGAGATGGTCCAAATCTGTTTTTCATTGTATTAGTTTCTCAATTGTCATTCTCAATTTGCGCAATTGATTTAATCTCTGGCTATTGCACATTTACTGAAATCCGTTGTTTAGATCATGTTCTTTTTAAAGTGGACATTGATATTCTACTTATGGTTCTTCACAGCAACCTCCTTCTCCTTGGATGAATCAGAGGCCTCCACTTGATGTCAATGTTGGTAAGTCTCATTCAAGTTCAGGTTAACGTTTAATAAAACAGATTTGTTGTAATGGCGGATTGCATTGCACACTGTAGCTTACGTGGAAGGACGGGAAGAGGCTGATAGAGGAGCTTCTAATCAGCCTATGACACAAGTAAGCAAGTCATTTATGGCTTTACAGAAGACTTATTGTTCCTGCTTTTAAGATGTGATGAGACCTTGAGGCTAAGCTGTTTTATGAAGCTAGATAGTTTTGCTCCTTTCTTGTTCCAACACATTTAATGGGTACTTTTGTCTAGAAAGTCAAGTCTGGATGGATATATTTAGGAGACAAAAACATTAGACTAAACCATTAAGAAGGATTTAGATTTGAATGCTGTTGTTATTCATGATTTTCAGTAAAACAGTATTGCATGATTTGGTCTACATAGACAACTTCACCTTCTGAAGGTGGAAGTCTTATTGCTTTTGAGTCTGAACTTGAAGTCCTGACATTTAGATACTAATAGATTTCTGAAAAAAATTATAGGATTTCTTCACAGTGCCTGGTGGAAAGCGAAAACGCAATGATATGCCTCCACCATATGATGTTGGAGGGTATATACCTCAGCAAGATGGAGCTGGTGATGCTGGATCTGGCGATTTTGAAATTGAGGTGTGATCTTTATCCCACTGTTTGTCAGCATCAATCTTTTATAATAATTTATATTTATATTTGCTAAGCACTTGCATTTCACTTGTAAGTTGTAGGTAGTTCTGTAATAGCGTTAGCAGTCAAGTAAGTTTATTATTTATACCATCAGTGTTTGTTTATAAAGCAAGGGATTTCATATCACTCTGTTAGATTTAGCATTTCCCCAGTCCTTTAATGGGGCAGGGATGAGACAAGATGAGATGTGAAGGATGATGGAGGCAGTTTTTGTCATCTCTACAAAGTGTATGATGCTTATCAGAGTTTGAAATTTTTTTTTGGGATGGGAATTGCTGTAGGGTTAGAGCAAGGTAGGGGGGCACCAGGGTTGACACAGTGTGTAAGCATGTCTTGTCATCTCTACCTAATTAGAATCTTGTAATTTTATAAAATTGATGTAGTTAATACACATTCTTTCATATGTGAGGCTGCACGGTGACAGTTTTCCAAATGAGTCATTAATGAAATCTTCAACTGTTTCAAAACTTTAAGGTTCACTTACACCATAATAAAAAGGAGAACCTTTTCTAAAACCAAATAAGCTCTTGGATTACAATCTTCTTTCCAAGCACACACCCCTGTGCATTGTTCTACTGGCATTTTACAGTACAAGAGTGAGCTAGGAAAGAAGCGAGCGACATTGTGCTGGCCAGCTAACAGTTGTAAATCACTTTGCTGACTTTTTGTAGCACCTGCCTCGTTTTATTCTGTCTGTTGCATAATTCATTGACTTGTTCAATTGGTGGAAACATTTTTTCATTTACAAAACTTGTGAACTTTTAGGTATGTGGAGGGAGCATCTCCTTCAATTCACAACACACTAATTCAAAAGGGAAAATGCCCGCAGACTTGGAGAGACTAACTTCTAGGATTCCTCAACTTGATGGACCAATTCCGTATGAGGATGATGTGCTTTCAACTCCAAATGTGAGTAATATTTTCATCCGCTGCTGCCTAGTGAGCTTTTGTAAATTGTAATGAAATTTCATCTGCTGCTGCCTATGCTTGTGTGAGCTTTTGTAAATTTCAATGAAACAGTTTGGTGTTTGCTCTTTCCCATTTCAGAGATATGCATTTTTACTTTATTTACTTGTTCTAGTTCCTGTTACCCCCCTGTATTAATTTTTGGTAAGACTGCATGCACCCCTCAACCTATAGTTATCCATAAAAATAGACGCACCCGTTGACTTTGAATTTGACAATTTGACAATTAATAATCTCAGTTAATGTTGAAAGGGCTCTCAATGACCCACTTCTTATTTGTATTTGATGTGTAGTATTTGATTTATTTTTGTTGCAAATTAAGTAATAGACCAACCACATCTTTTCAGATGTTTATCAGTTTATGAAGTACTAAACAGTGATAAGAGTCTTAGTTTAGGAAACTCCCATATGAATTAGTGTCTGTTTTTGGTGTAAATACTGCTTCTTCCTTGGTTCATCATTTTTAAAAACAGAACAACTGCAACTTAAATTCAGAAATAATATATAACTATATAAGCGATTTAATGGATTAAAATAGGTGTTGCCAGTTGTGAAACCTGAATTAGTTGCATATTTTATCAACGTGTTAGCTGCTTTCATATTTCAAACTGTATTACATCTTTAATTCATTGAATGTGCCTGTATTACAACAACAAAAAAAGATACAAGGAGATTGAATGGCTAAATTCTAGCTTAGTCATTCTACATGTGAAATCTTAGAGTTTCAATTGCATTATATTCATTTGAAATTTACCATAAGTTTTGTATTCTATCATCTTACATGATTTTTTTAATCCATTTTGTTGCAGATATACTATAATGGTGGAGGGTACAATGAAGACTACAACGTTGCAAATACACCAGCTCCTCCTGGTAACTTGAAAATGTGATATATTAGTTGTTAATTATATTTTCAAGACTGGAGGCATATAATAGTTTTCTGACAATTTTTGTTTTCTCTTGCCTTATTAGAAGTACCAGTAAGCACCCCTGCTCTCGTTGCTCAAAATGAGGTGGTAAATGACGATGACGATGATGAGCCTCCATTAAATGAAAATGATGATGATGATTTAGATGACTTGGACCAAGGGGATGATCAAAATACACATCATCTAGTTTTGGCCCAGTTTGACAAGGTAACAACCTCCCTCATTACATGTTGACACTGTAGTAATATAAAAGTCAGGTAGGGGTTGGATAACTATTTTGGGGCTAATAGAGTTGGCTTATTAAAATTTAGGTGACACGTACTAAGAGCAGGTGGAAATGCACATTAAAGGATGGCATCATGCATATAAATAACAAGGATATTCTCTTCAACAAGGTTTGTTAATCTTGAAGGAGAACACTTTAGTTTTTCTCATCCTTTCAGTTCTGTATATCAAATTCTCAAGATTAATGATGCAATACAATTTTGCAGGCAACAGGAGAGTTTGACTTCTGATTTTGTTGTGGCCAGTGCTCTATCGAATGCATAATTCTGAGGTGTCAAGAGTGTTTCGTGATATTTCTTTGATTGTAGTTAATATTAAGAGAGAGATTCAGGAAGAGAGAAATCCTTACACTTTCGAGACTGTTTTGATGTTGGCCACTTGTGCATAATGAATGGGCAATTTTTGGCCTTAACATGATGGTTAGTAGATACTGGGCATTTCCTTAAGTCCATTTGTCAAGTATGTGGTTCCCTTAGTTCTGTATACTTGGACATTTTGGTTAAATTAAGAGCTGCACTGTGATAATGATGGTTTATTTAGCCTTGCCTTGGTTTGAGTTTTCGCATCTCTTTTGCTTAGCTTTTGACCGGGATAACTAGTGTGTAGAACTCTATTGTAGTAGATTCAGATAGAGTGATATTGATAACTTAAACCTGTTTTAAAGCATCACACTTTGAAAATATAAGAAATTGAAAGCACACTTCAACTAGAAAGTCTCAAATATGATGACTAATAATCTTCAAGGGTGGAAGGTGAATTTGTGCAGGTTAAAAGATCCGTATTTAACTACCCGTATTGTTGTGAATTTATATTATTATTGTTGCATATGAATCAATTTTTAGTAGCGATTCTATCATTCTTAACAAATATAAAAGTCATTTGATGTAAAAAAAAAGTGATTTGTACTTGTAGTTTGCTTTGACGTTTTACTAGTACATGTATGCAACTTATTATGCTTATAAAAATTTGATTCAGATGAATATGTTTTTACATATTTAACTGGTCATGTGGAAAATATTCAAGTCCCATATAAATTTAATTAGAGATAAAGTGTTGGAGAAATTTAAATGGAGTGAAATTCCTTATCTTAAAATTCAATTTTGTAAAAATAAGTTACACCAAATTTTAATATAATATTAGAGTTTATTGTTCTTATATATATCTACACTAAGTTTAGAAGAGTCCAAGTGTGATGGGGTGTTTCACATCAATTATTGAAAGAATTTATATAGACACTCTTTATTTCGGTTTTATAAAGTTGACAAAATTTTAGTAATAACTTTACTATTTCAAGCATGTAATATGAATGGGTATTTTGTTTATGTTTTGGTATTGCCTAATGGTGTTTAGTCTTGGTTTTTTTCTTTTACTTTTACAAGTATTAGTTAGTTTTTAACCAAAGCACACTTTCAATTGATTGTTGTTATAATTGATTGTCACGTTTCTGCTCTGCATATCAATGTTTAGGTTTAGTTTTAGTTGTAACTATACATATTTTTGAATATGTTATAGATATATTTTTTAAAATATTATCGGACGCTGTGAATTATTTTAATTTTTTTTTTCTTTTTACGCAAAAGTGGAGGGGGATTAAAAGAACTCATAAAAAGTCTAATAGAGGAATTAGAAGACTGTTTTTTTTTAAAGAATGAACTAAGAGGATAAAAATACGTAAATATGTGACTAAAATTATATTGAAGTCTATTTAAAATAAATGATCTAGGATTTAACTTGTTTCACAAGTAAAGTTAGTCAATATCCAAACTTATATAACAAAATTGCAATATATACGATACATCTTTCTTTGCACGTTCGGAGAGACATTCTCAGAGACTCCTTAATAAGATATCAAATGTTGAGTATATTTACTTGTGTTTTTTCATTTAGTAATGACTATCTACTTCGTTGTTTGAACTTATGTTTTAATAAATTTGGATAACTAACTTAAATACATTTGACAGTAATTCGACTCATTAAAAAAATTGTTACTCTAAGTCTTCTCATACGCTTGTTGAACGATGAACAATTAACGAACACACCATCTTCATAAAAACTATATTCATCTTCCTTCATAATGATCTTGAAAGAGTAGGTCTTAAAAAAATGCTTATGCTTTCTTCTAACAATAACTTTCTCTTTCTTCATATATATATATATATATATATATATATATATATATATATATATATATATATATATATATATATATATATATATATATATATATATATATATATATATATATATATATATATATATATATATATATATATATATATATATATATATATATATATATATATATATATATATATATATATATATATATATATATATATATATATATATATATATATATATATACTTTATGCTTTATGCTTTATGATAAGGCTGCCTTACAAATAACAATAAAATAACAAAAAATTTTAAGTTATACATCTAGTCTTCCAATTACCTACACATACGACTTAATACTTTTCTAACACAATTCTTATTAGATAAAGTCACATTGAAATTCTAAACGATGATTATATAAACTATTTTACATGATAATATTAGATTACTTCACATAAATCAAAGTCATTTAATCAAATGATATCAAATAAACAACATGCTATTTATTCATTTGTATATATTCCACTATTTCACTATGGGAGTTCATTGAACATATCCTTCGGATTGTTATAGTCCATATCCTTAACTTCTAAAGTTCAAGATCCGATTGAAAGACCAATTCTGAGGTCAATTGCTGGTGGAGGATATGAGAATCAAACGATCTAGAGGGGGGGGGGGGGGGGGGGGGGAGGGGGGTTGAATAGACCACTTCCTTAAAATCATTTTCAAAATATTTTCTTTTGAAAAATAAGAGTTTTACAAACAGATGCTAAAATTATGTAAGAAAGCTAAAGATAGTGTCTTTTTTTTATAAAACATACGATTAAATCGACATTATAGTTAACTCAGATTATTAGAAATTAAATCAAATGAGAAAGATGAATTTGCTTAAACAAGAAATACAATAATTATCGTTATTCATTATTTCAAACAAACTTCAAATTTAATTTGATTAATTGAACGACCAATCTAATAACAAGAGTTCATACATCAATAATAAGAATATTCAAATGACTAGATCTATCACATACCTATGCTTACATAATAAATCACCATAAGCAGATAAAATCTACCAACATGAAAATTTACGAAAGCGATACAAATCTAAGAATGCAATATATACAAAAAATTAAAAAGATATGGATGCAGAATATTGCATCAAAGTTTATACTAGTACATCGCTATCGTCCTTACTTGCGCCTTTTTCATTGAAAACTTGTTGTTCTTCCACTATGACTTTTACAAAATATACAGAGCTGTTTAGTACTATCACAATTTGAATAATGATGAAAATACATATCTTCGATTCAAATCTTTTTTTGACTGTGCACAATATCTGACACTTAGCTCTTGCAAAATGTGTGGTATTTGGATCGAACTCTAGTCTAGACAGGGATAACTTCATGGTTTGACAAAGGTTTAACATGTAGTTTAAGTCTGTTCACTTGCTGATCCTCAATGCTGTAGTCAAAGTATGCTCAAGCATGCAGTAGCCAAAATGCTAAGATTGTTAGCATATCGAATTTAGCTTGTTTGTTTAGCCCAATTGTTTAAGTTAACTTAGTAGTCTATAAATAGACTAGTTATCTCATGTTGTTGAGAGAGAGTTAGTTTGTTGATATTCACTTGTAATATTTGAATCCTAATAGAGAAAGTGAATAGTAAAATATTTATAACAAATCCTGATTCTTCTTCTTCCTTCTTCTCTTTCTTTCGTAAATCTAATAGGGTTTCTTGTGTTTTTTTTCCCAAGAAAATCATTCTTTCTCATATTTTGATTTGTTTTTGACGACATCGATTCACAATAAACTGATGCAGTGAGCGTGGAGGAGAAGATGTCGTCAACAAAATATGAGATTGGGAAATTCACCGGTGTGAATGATTTTAGTTTGTGGCACTTGAAGATGCAAGTCCTACTGGTTCAGTAGGGTTTGTTAGAAGCATTGAAAGGATTGGAGAAGATGGACGTTGCTTGTCATACTCCAAATTTTACCCTCAGATTCCCCCGATCATTTTCATATAATTTTAAGTCAGTCATTTTTATTTTTTTATTTAAACATTTCATTTCATCATTAATCATGCATTTTTTAGTCAATTTTATCATTCCATTTTAGAATCTGTTTTTTTTATCATCTTAAGTTTTATTTAGAATTGATTTAGTTTAATTTTAATATAGCTTATTTTTTTAATCTAGTTTAATTTCAATTTAGTTTAGTTTTAATATAGTATATTTTTAATTTTGTTTGGTTTTTAAATTAGTTTAATTCTAAGTAACTTAATTTTAATTTAGTTGCTTAATTAGTTTAGTTTATATTTCAGTTTATTTTTTAATTTTTAAATTAAATTTATTTAGTTCTTTTTATTTTTGTTTTATTCAAATTAGTTGTCACAAATACTGCTTTCATTACGCCAAGCTATACACTGCGCCTTGTACCATTCAACAAAAATCCAGAAAATCAGTCCTACACTCCAAGACTCTACACACAAAACCAATACTTGCACCTTTTACTACACAACAAATACCCTGCCACATTGCTCCAAGTTTGACCAAGATCTAGACCACTCTGCATCAAAACATGTACAGCAAAACAAAACCATGCTTGTTGCTATCATCCTGCTACATCCTATATCAAAAGCCCGCTATTCCAAAATGCCAGACCAGCAACCGTGACAGCAACACAAGCCAAGGTTCGAAAGAAACAAGTCAAGAAGGGGAAATAGGTTCTGATGTTAAATAGAGGAAAATAAATTTAACAAGGGGGGAGAAAAAGAAAAGAAATAAAGATACCTGCATTAAAAACCATCATAACAAGATCCTCCCCATCTGGTTTCATACTTTCAACTCATCTTCTCCCTCACTCACAGTTCGTTCTCTATCTTTCTCACACAGGCTTGCCATCACTCCATACTCTCCTTCACACAAAAACTCACCAAGAAATAAAGATAACTACAAAAAGAAACCTCAACGACAACCGCACACCAATCAATTCAGAAAGAAGAAGAAGAAAAAACTCTGATAAACCAAAAGCAACCACACAAAAAAATCGATGAGGAAGGCAGAATCAGAAATGAAAATTCACTTTTTTTAAAGCCATTAAACTCACCATCATCTTTG